TGAGGAAGTCCGTTTGTTTTCTCGGTCAGCATAGAAGGGTTACAAGCTGACATCCAAAAACCAGGATGGAAGTATCCAAAAATTGAAAAGGTTGAAAGTAAAAAAATTAAGGATCTGTTGAGTCCCAATATTTTGCATGAATCTTCAAGATCAAGGACACAATAAACATCCCAAAGATAACTGAGAGGCAAAGTGCTAATGGGAGGAAAGATCCTGTAACAATCTTTGTCATGAGGGATAAAATTTTGACAAACTAATGGAATGGAAGGCAGTCAGGTCTCCAGGACCTGATGACTTGCACCGAAGTGTTTGAAAGAAAGTGGCTACAGAGATAATGGAAGTATTGGTCAAAATATTCCAGAATGCACTGGATTCTGGGAGGGTTTGTGCATTTTGAAAAAATGCTAATGCAACTCAACACCTTCCAGAAGGAACAGAGACAGCAAGCAGGATATTATGGGTCAGTTAGGCTAACATCTGTCATTGGGAAATTGCTAGAATCTATTAAGGAAAAAAATGCAGTATATTTAGAAAAGCTTAAAAAACAAAACTGGCAAAACTGGTTTTGTGAAAATGAAATCATGTTTGACAAATTTTCTAAAGTCCTTTGAGGAGATAAAGAAATAGTTGATAAAGGAGGACTGGTAGATGTGGTATATTTGGATTCCCAGAAGCCATTTGATAAGAAGCCACAAAGAAGCTTAATGCACATGATAGAAATTCACGGTATTGGGGTAATGTATTACCATGGTTTGAAGATTCTTTAATGCACACAGGGCACAGTCAGGATTAATGGGTCTTTTCAGATCAGAAAGATATAACTAGTGGAGAGCCACAAAGGCCAGTCTCGGGCCTCAATTATTTGCTACCTATATTAATGGCTTGGAGCAGTGAGCAAAGTATAATGTATCCAAATTTGCTAATGATACAAAGATAGGTAGGAGGGCATGTCACTATGAGGACAGAGTGAATCGCGGGGCACATGGATAGGTTGCGTGAGTAGGTAAAACCTTTTAAAGAGAGCTTCATGTAGGAATGTGTGAAGAACTACATTGGTAGGAAGAATCAAAAAGCTGACTGTTATTTAAATAGAAAGAGACTTCAAATTTTAAAAAAATATAAAACGGAGGGGACTAGGTATTTCTTGTGCAGGAAACAGAAAAGGTTAGCTTGTAGGTGTAGCAAGTAATTAAGGCAGCAAATGGAATTTGCTTTATTCCTTTATTGATAGGAGATTGGAGTGTAAAAAATAGGAAAGTCTTGGTATACCTGTGCAGAGTATTGGTGAGGCCACACCTGAGATACTGTGCACAGGTTCAGTCCCCATAGTTAAGAAAGGGCATACTGTCATTGAAAACAGTCTAAAAGAGATTCACCATAGAGATTCTGTACAACGTGGAAGCAGCCCATGAAGTCCACACCAATCTTCTGAAAAGCATTCCAGCCAGAACCATCACCCCACCCCATCCCTGTAACTCTGCACCTTCCATGGTTAATCTACCCGACCTATACATTCCTGAACACTTATGGGCAATCTACCATGGCCAATCCACATAATCCACACATCTCTGGACTGTGGAAGGAAACTGGAGCACCTAGAGGAAACCCATATAGAAACTTGGAGATTGTGTAAACTCCACACAAACTCCTCCTGAGGGTAGAGTCAAACCCAGCTCCCAGGGATTCTGAGACAGCTGTGATCACCACCGAGCTACATGCTGCCCTAAAAGCAGAGTTGGGAATGAAATGGTTGACATGTCAAGAATGGCAGAACAGGTTAGGCTTTCATTCATTACAGTGTTGAAGAATGACAGCTGATAAAGATTCTGAGGAGCTTGGCAGTGTAGATGTTGAGAAGATGTTTTCACTAGTGTCCGTCTCAAATTAGGAAACAATGTCACAGAATCAGAGGACAAGAGATGGAAAGGAAGTTCTTCTCCCAGTGGGTTGTTATATCGAGAAATGTCACCCCAGAGAATCGTGAAGCTAGATCACAATGTACTTAAAGAGGAAGTAGGTAAATTTTTGAAATAATCAGGAAGTTGAGGGTTGAGGAGCTGACATGGGAAGACTTGGGGCCTAAGCGGATCAACCATGATCTTATTCAATGATGGGGCAGTTATGAGGGGCCAAATGATCCATTCCTGCTCTATTTCAAAAGTTCTTATGATTAGACCCAGAGACAAAGAGAATGTGATTTGCTGGAGACAGATAAGGAACTAGAATTATAAACAATAGTACACACATTATGCACTTTAAGAAATAATCGAGGGTTGGGACTATTTCTGGGTCCCGAACTCGCAGCTTCCTGGGAAGATTTTCCAGGGACAACCAGTTAAGAGGCTTGCTGCCTTGGAAGCATGGTAGATCCATCAGCAGACCTGTCATTGCACTGGGAGATCCAACAGGTGATGACCCACCCCAGGGATAATTGCACATTGAAGGGATCATGTCAGGTCACTAATCCAATATTAACTTCCGTGAAATTCCTCTTGGCACCACCTTTAAGCTTTCCACCAGGGAACTGGGGAGAATTTTACCAGCTACAGATTAAAGAGACAACTAAGAAGCTAGAATTGTGACAGGTTATCATGAAGCTGCAGCCATTGCAATCACATGGGAAACTGGAATAAAAAAAATAAGAAATGGGTCCGTGCAGCTGGAGGTGGGGAGAGGGGCACCAGAAGTACAGAGGTGCATTGGCGGGAGCCATCAGAGGCAGACAGAACAAACATTTTAAACTAACCACACAATTCAAGGAATAGTTGCTAACTCTCATTTGTGTCCATTCTATTTAGTTATTATTCTAGCATTTGTTATCAGAAAGTGGAGTCTTTGGCTGTAACGGGTGAGACAGATTAATGTAAACATTAATGTGAAAACTGTACCTCACACAAAGTAGCGTGTGAATTTAACTGACAAAAACAAACTGCGGTCTTCAGTAAAGTTTATGATTTTGAGAATGATACATTTTCTGCAGCTGAATCATAGGTGCACTTTCACGACAGCATTGTGTAAATCTCAGCCTCTGTAAGCCAGGGAGCAACAGTGAAGGAACTAACATTACATAATTCATTGAATATTGGGGAGAAAACAAAGAAAGTTTCACAGTAGCTGTGAAGTGCTAAAGCTCACAGCAAATCCACATCACAGAATTACAATTAGCATCTGTTTATGTTTCCTGTGTGATCTTTAATGTTGGTTTGGAGAGGCTTAATTGTGTTGCAATCAACATATCCTTGCAATGGGAAGCAGTTAGCTCAGTTGACTGAACCCCGATTTGTAATGCTGCATTATGCCAAAAGTACGGGTTTAATTCCCACGCCATCTTAGATGACCATGAAGGACTCCCCTCAACCTCTCCCTTCAACTGAGGCATAGTGACGGTCAGGTTAAACCACGTCCACTCATCTCCCTCTTATGGGAGAGCAATCCTTTGGTCTGGTAGCATTATGGCAACTGGCAACATCTTGGAGGAGGGCAGCTGGAGTGGCCTAGTCTGGCAGCGGAACCAGGGACTTCTGGTTGCAGTAGGCCCAGAGTGGGGACTGCTGGCATTGGCAAAGTGGTGGCTACAGCATGGTATGCTCGGAGCTGGGACTCCTGGCATCAGAGGTGGCAGAAGAGCCAGGGACTCATAGTTGTGGGGCAAGTGTGGGTTTAACACAGCACCTGGCATTGGCGGAAGCTGGAAGAAGAGCACCTCATTTTCCACTTGGGTACTCTTAAACAGCCTTCTGGACACAATATCAAGTTCAACAATTTTGGGGCTTGAGGCATCTTCTCCCACGTCCTTACCCCTAGCCTCACAGACCAGGTCTTGTTATCACATAGTCTGCTATTACACGCAACCCAATGTTAGCCACTAATTGTCCCCATTACTAGCTATTCATTCTTCCAGGCTGATTCGTATCCACTCCATCTGTCCAACTGTTCTTCTCTCTCTTTGGGCTGTATCGCCACCTATCATTTACATCTTACCCACTCCCCACCGTATATTCTATCCAAAAACCAACATTTTCCTAGCTACCATCAGTTCCGAGGAAATGTTAACTCTGATTTTTCTTCACAGATGCTGCCAGGCCTGCTGAACCTTTCCAGCAATTTGTTTTTGTTTCTGATTTCCAGCATCCACAGTTCTTTTGGTTTTTATTTCCTACATTTGTGGGCCTGGCACAGGCAGTGGTGAGGCACTGGAGTAGGGATAGTGACGCAGGTGTCATTGGTGAGCAGCTCAGGGTTCAGGACTCTCTTTCAGTTATATCTTTTATCCTTTTTGTTCTTAAACTATTCAAAATGGCGCTAGATTGTGGCAACTGTTGAAGCTTTTCAACGTATTTTACAATTTTGTTCACCATAAAATGCAATTGACAATAAAGAAATCATTCATTCACCACTTTTATTCATGCAATAATCTTAATTCATGACATCTCACTTCCTGATTTACTGAGACTTGTTAACTCAGTACCATAAATTAGATTAGAAACATGTGTGATGGTAGTGCAAGATGTAAAGCATTTCAATGGCTACCCTTTATATTCCCAGCCTAATATTTATATTTTGGTAACATTAATGGATTGAATATTGGTATCTGCTGTGATACTGTTTAGTTTGTATTATTAAGCAATGGGAGATTCTACCTTCATGTTCAATATGAGGGATTGTTTTATATAATTGGTCCAAACAAAGTAAATTTCAGATGACAAATACTTTCTTGATATAGATAATATAGTACCCAAGGAGATAAGAGAGTTATTTGATGTCCTTCAATTAAACGTTTCATGCAAAAATTAGGGGTGCTATTCCATAGTTATGTGTAAAATGTGTGTGCTTTCTTAAACCAAAAAGCTTTTAATTAAAACTGGTTCATAATTTTTACTTAATTAACAGCAAATAAAATTATTCCGGTTTCAGCATCTTATTCACAATGTAATTACAAACACCTAAACCATATACATCATTCAAATGGTTTCCCATCATTCCACCTCTTTGTCACTTACCATCCACACAGGCTGGCTTGGCTCTCGTTGTGCCAGCAATCTGTCCTCTCCTACAGGCACATCGTGCTGTTTGTCTGGCTATTGTTCTCCGTGGTTGACTACTATCTCTGTCCAAGGTAACTATTTCACATGTACCCACAGCCAGTTGACCTAGAATAGAACATACAATATGGGAATCAATGTCGGGGATTTTAACCATGAGCTCCTCCCCAGTAGCATGATTTAGATGGACAAAATTATTACTCTGGAGGAAGATAAACTAGATTCATTCAATACTCAAATTGCAACTTGAATTTCCTGTTTGAGAATCTAATTATAGACAGTGTGGTGAGCCTTGACAAGAAACAGTGACAACAATTTGCAGAGACTTTAAAATATGTGATAAGTTTGTAATTGTTTCAAAAACAATGTTCGATAAAATCTTTAAGCATTTGTATTCATTGCAGCAGGATCAATTGAGAATTCCTTGGGTAATAAGTTGTACTAGTCCATGCAACCTGGTAACCCTTGATCTGGGAAGTTGTACCAAAGGAAATGAAGTTGAGATTTGGAAGCAGTTTAGCCAGATAGACACAAAGAAGAGATGTAAGACTGAAGGTTGGAGGCTATTAGCATTATACATACATACACATACAAAAAGAAGCAGAAAAGCTGTTCAGGAGTTGAAAAGATTCCAAAGGAAATGTGCCATGCAGGGAAAATGCACAGGTGTAACACTATTTACATGGAAGCTGCTGGCTGTGGACAATCGACTTTCTGGGCATCGTATCATTAGCCTGAATATATCATTTCTTGAAATGCTGGGTGTTGCTATTGAAGTATGAAATGCTCATGGATGGTAAAATTGTCAGCAATTCTCACTATTACTCCATCAAAACTGACAACAAATTTAGGAGTCAGTAGAAAATCGGGATAACATGGAAAGTCAGATGTTGCCATCAGTGTTCCTCTGTGGGGTGCATTGTAAACATTGCAATCAATGCTTGTTAGTCTCACTGTAAAGCCCTTGAATACATTACAACTTGTTGAATGAGGTATAACAGAATTTTAGTGATGATGTGGAGGTGCCGGTGTTGGACTGGGATGCATAAACGTCAGAAGCCACACAACACCAGGTTACAGTCCAACAGGTGTATTTAAAAGCACAAGTTTTCATAGCGCTGCTCCTTTGTCAGGTCACTATAACCTGGTGTCATGTGACTTTTGAACTTTAATGAGCTCAGTGCACAATTATTGTTGAGCTCAATTACCAAATTAGAAAAACTAAATTTGAAATGTCTAATTTCTCCTCAATGATTTTAAAATTTCATATTTTTAAAAAGTATTTAAGAGAAGTTTACCTTTAGCTTCTATCTTAATCCAGTTAATAATTCAGTTCACAAATCTTAAAATTTATATTGAAAGTAAACAAATTCAGTGGTTTTAACTTTTCAGTTTGCTCGATGTGACTTCAATGTGATTACTAGTGACCCCATTTGTTGACATCACTGTTGCTTCGCAGCAAAATATCTTCTTGACTTGGTGCCAGATTTAAATAAGGTTTTGGAAGTGGAACAATCAAGAATATCCTGAAAAAAGCCCAACTAAATATTTATAATTAACCCTCATTCTGGCTGAGGAGGGATCACAACTGGAATCATAGAATCCCTACAGTGTGGAAGCAGGCCATTTGGCCCATCAAGTCTACACTGACCCTCCAAAGAGCATCCCACCCAGACCCTCAATTCCCCCACACCTGTAACCCTGCATTTCCCATGGCTAACCCATCTAGCCTGCACATCCCTGGACACTCTGGGCAATTTAGCACAGCCAATCCATCTAACCTGCATATCTTTGAACTGTGGGAGGAAACCAGAGCACACCCATGCAGACACAAGAAGAATGTGCAAACTCCACACAGAATTTCCCAGGGCTGGAATTGAACCCATATCCCTGCCACTGTGGTTAGAAGGGCTAACCACTGAGCCACCATGCTCAAGAGGAAGATAAGAAAATTTTGGTTAGGCTGCAGTTCTCAGAAGACTGCTATTTAACATGTCTAGCTAACTCATAAGGAAGCTTTGACCAGAATTTTTCATTGGACAAAAATTAAAATTACCTGAAGGACACAGATTGTCTTCTTTTTCAGTGATTGTTTAGCAGAAGTGGGGAGAAAGAAGGTGGCAGAGATAGTAGGAACTGCAAATGCTGGAGAATCTGAGATAACAAGGTGTAGAGCTGGATGAACACAGCAGGCCAAGCAGCATCAGAGGAGCAGGAAGGCTGACGTTTCGGGCCTAGACCCTTCTTCAGAAAGTGGTGTTGTTTGGACCTCAAGGCATGTTTCCACATGAATAGTGTATACCCCAATAAGTTTATACTGTGCCCAACACCCATGTGACAAATGCATGAAAAATAGTGTAATCACTGCAGGAAGTTAACCAAAAAGTCTACCAAGGGAATAGCTTCTTGCAGATGCTATATCATCATTGCTACTTTCTAAATGAAAGAAATTTTCCTCAGAAATGTTGGTATACCTGAACCTTTACACATAGCTGCTTGATTGAAATTAGATTGCCTGTGCTGCAATTAGACCTGCTTGGCTTCATTCATTTCATTTACTTCTTCCACCTCCAAATAAAATAATGATATAGGAATATCCAACAATGTTCCTACACTTTGATTTTTAATTGGAGCAAAAGGAGTTTTGCCAACAGAAGCCTGAACAAAATCAAATGCTTAAAGTCCAGCTCTCACAAATCCAGAATAAAAATCTATTTTTATTGTGAAAATAATATCGGTGGTCTTCCTTTAAGCTGTCACTTGTTATCTGCTCAGAAGCATCCTCAGCTCTTGGCAACCATACCATTCATTTCATATGGATATACTGAGTGCTTCACAATTGTCTGCATGGACATCAGGAAGTCCCACATGCATTCCTTACAGAGCCATTCAATGGAGCTTGAACATATTCTGTATGCCAGCCAAATTGACCTAAAAGGTCAACTGGAAGATGGCACATTGCATAGGAGGAGGTCATCCAGCAGATTGATCCCTGCCCCATGTGCCAGCTCCCGCTCACCCATGTGGAATGCAAATTATTCCCCAAAGAACATTAACCAATCAGGAGGACGATAACTGACAGAAATAATCAACCTTCACAAACCAGACGAGTCATGCAATGTAAAAATAAATTATAAAAGTGCACTAAATTGAATTTCACTATGTCTGACCCACATTATATTTGACCTTTTTTTAATATTGTTCAGAGTACAGCACAGTGAAAATCTGAATCGCCAAGTAGTAAGGATGGTTAGCATTCATAACGTGTGTGTATTTTCCCATGTGTATATCTTTTCATTAGGATCCCTAAAATGTTTTGCATCATGCCTGTCGGATATATGGATGTGTTGCTATTTCAGTTATCCTGGATATTTTACATGGCAATTATATTGGTATGGAGGTTAGTAATGGTTAACTGTACTCTTAAAAATAGCACTGGCCTGAAGACAAAAGTAACAATCTCAAATTTGGTAGCAATGTCCTCAGGCAAGGTGACAATAGCAGATGGGGATTGGGAGTAGCAGGCATAAGAAAAGAAGCAACAACATAAAGATAAAACTGAACGAAAGGGGATGTATCAGAAAATAGTACTGTCTGTTCCAATTTGGATTATGTATCTTTCTAGTTAAGTTGAGTGAGCAACAGTAGCTGTTTTCTGGCAAATAGAATTGATCCTCTAAATATGATCGATCAAATTTATTTCTCTACCCTGGAACTAAATTAATCCCTCATTATTATTTCCCTTTATTTCCTCCATTGCTGCATATAGTGTTCCAACATTACAGTTTTACCTGCAATTAGATGCCCCTGTCAGATACATTGGAAGTGTTCCTTCAGATATTGTAGTCCCTCCCGGTGATAATCCACTTAATCTAAAATTTTCATTTTAATACATTCAGATAATCACCACTGGAGTTTCATTCTGGCCTTCCTTTTGACAATGCAACAATAGCTTGCATTTATTTGGTCCATTTAAAGGCATTTGAGGAAATCCCTGACTTCACAGTTGCCTGCATTTTAATGATCTATCCTCCTCCAACTGACATCTCTACCCTCAGAAGCTCAAAAGAACAGTACCTCAACTAACAATTAAACACTTCACAGCCTTTTGACTCAACATTGTGTTTGATAATGTCAGACAGTAATCTCGACCAACCTCCCCTATTTTATTTCCTTTCCTTTGCCTGTGTTGGTCTCAATCTTGTTTTTCTCATTTTTACCTTGGATGGTGGATAATTCATTAATCTGCCATTCACGCCTCCTCTGAGCCCACCATTTCTTTATTTGTCCTGTTATCACTCTCTTTGGATGAGCCCTACCTATACTTTTGTCACCTACTGTCTTCTCATCTTCTGCCGGCTCCCAGATCTTCCCTGTATTTGTTTACTCATCTTCAACTAATTGTTTTCCTACCTTTTTCAAATGCTGATGAAAGATCACAAGGTCAAATGTCAACTTTGTCCCTCCATCGACCTGCTGACCTGCAACAATTCTTTTTTCATCCACTGCACTTCACAGGAATATTATGAAAACTTGACACCCCAGACACAGAAACAGAAATTAGGGCAGATAGAAAATGGGTTTTAAGAGGCTTTTAAAAGGATAGTGAGCAGAAGGATTAATGACAAACATGACTTAAGGTACAGGCGGCAAAAATTTGGATGATGGAGGGTAGAAAATGGCAGCTATTTAAATCTGATTAGTGAGTTGCAAACATTTGCTAGGCATCGCAGGGAGCTCAAGCCAATTCCCAGATGGGAAACAAAAATACAATATAATAATACTTGGAAATGAATGGACTTGTCATAAGACATGTTGGATCATTTAGTCTCATTCCCAGGTTCTCTTTTCAGGAAAAACACACTTTCAATTCATATCTCCCAGATAAGCCTCCTAAGAGGATAGCAATAGAATGAAGTTGTGACAGCTGTCAGTGATCCATGGTTTTAAAATTGAACCAAGAGAAGAACTTCTGCAACTCAAAGCTCTACGTACATTTTTCTAAAAATGTAAAAGACTTTTAAAACACTGCTAGCGTGTCTACACATTGATCAGAATTTCCTAAAAACACATGTTCAAAGTAAATTGAAGAGGAGCCGAAACAGGCC